AAAATACTTATCCGAGTCCTGACTTATCAATAACATCTAGTAGCGATAGTTCTCCGAGTCCAAATAATTTTGAGTTTTCAATTCAATCGGATCAACAAGTAAATGATGATATCATAAATAATCTTTTATTCATTGATGAAAACCAGTCTCCTATATATGATAATCAATACGGACTCGAAATTTTCGATTCCTCTAACGTTTACGTTAATGAAATTTCCGAAATAAATTCACATAATTTATATGAAATCTTTGACGTTCAGAACAATTGCATTTTAGATAATTTGGTCAATTCTAATGACCGATTATCTTTTTTGCCTAATTTATTAAATACAACAATAAATCAAGATAATTTAAACGATGCGTTAATCGCTTATGAGATGGGTTTTAATTACCCTATCTAAAAATTCTCCTTATTTTAGAATATATACTTTAATTTTAATGCATATGGGGCTTTTGCTAACAAAATGACCCTCCGAGCTATTGTTACACAATATTTTAATTAGTAAAATCATAACAAATCTATTTTTAGTAAAAAAAAATCATAGCAAAGGCCCCATATGTAGATTAAACTTTATGAATATTATTTTTATTATATTTATGCATCTATGCTATTATGTTTCCTATGAAATATGTATTATATTAATTCTAATTTTTTATGCAACAATTATGATGAAATTAAGATATAAAATAAGCATTATTTGAGCATTACTTGAAAACAACTATAAATGTATATATATATAGATTTAACATAAATTATAAACTTTTTATTTTTGATTTGTCATAGATTTCTTTATTTTATGCTGTATATTAATAATAAAATTTATAAACTTGTTTGATTGAAAAAATATATGTGCTTGTAAAAGTGAAACTTATTATTTAGTAACTAGCTAGTAATAATATTTTTTGTGTACGCATACGAGTTAACTTATTTCATGTTTCTCCCTAACTAATAAAGTGAGTTATTACGATGAATAAATATGAAATGTAGACAATCTTTTTGTTTTCTTAGTTACTCTGGTTGGTTAAAATTTAAAGTCCACATTTCACACAATGTAAATTTTCGACGTATCGTTACAAGGGCATTTCAACTAACTTTCAATTAATCGCAATGATCGAATCACATGGAAAGGATTACTCGAGAACGCCCTTAATCTCAAAAGTCATATCCGAATAGCTTTCACGTTATTTATAATTCCTAATCTCATGAGACGGTTGGCGCCTATATTAGAAGTGAATGCCTTGTGATGTCCTGTGCTATGCATAAAAAATCTCTATAAATGCATTATCTATGAATGTATAAACTATGAGATTTCCTAAGTGCATAATCCTAGGTATTTGATAAAGCATTTACTTTTTTTGACCAATTGTCTACATGATCCAAAGAATATGCTTTTTTACGGTAGTATTTACGTAATTATATATTTTTCATGAAATCAAATATCATTTAAATATGTGTTTTAGTATCTTAAATATTATTGATTTCTGTTAATTCTAACTCAGCAACGATCCTAAAAAATATACAAATTAATGTAATTTAAGTGTTAAAAATTTATATAAAGTTTACTAGCGGTAAGTTTAATTGCTGTGTAATTTGAAAACTATGCGTCGTACTCTCCTAGTTAAAATTAAAAACTTTTAGATAATCATCAATATTATAGTGCTTTTCAAATTATTCAAATTTCATGCATCACACTCCACTGGAAATCTGGAAATCGAGAATCTATAATATAAATACAAGCCTGTGATTGGCTAAAAAGGCTAAAAATTATATCAATTATATAATCTTTATAATCAGTTCTAATATTATCAGAATCCTAATAATGAGTATACTTTTTTCGAACTAGGAAAAAAAAAAATTTTATTAGTTTGTAGAATTTTCAAATATCAAAAATAAACAGGACATTAGTGAATAGTTAGGGTGTGTAATGGCCTATTAAAATCAAACATAGGCAGGGTTACTAATGATTATCACTAATTGCGGATTTTCTAATGGTAATTTTGGGTTTACCTCAGAATCCTGATACTTAAAATCCCGACGCTTAAAATCCCGAAAACAAAACCCTGATAGCATCAAAAATTGCTTTCGGATTTTGAACGTTGGAATTCTGGGTATCGGGATTCGAAGGTAAACCGGTAATTTATTATGTTGGAAGGCCTAATATAATTATATTGTCAATCGAACCCCACATTAATATGATTATCGCTATAAATTTTACTAAAATAAAATTACATTTTTTGAAATAAATAAATAAATAATATGCTATGTTTTTTAAATTGAAGCTCTAAACCAGCTTTACATTGAAATAGAGCTATTTTTTTAATCTTTTTTTTTAAAAAAAAGTAAAAAATACTAATAATCGAAACCAAAAACACTAATTATTAGTGTTCTAAATATTTTTTATAAAAATATTCAAAAAATAGCTCTATTTCAGTGTAAAGCTAGTCTTGAGGTTTAATTTAAAAAATAGTATTTTATTTAGTTAATTATTTATTTCAATAAATGTACTTTTTGTTTTAATAAGATTGATATGTGTGCATCGATACCCATAAAAAATCCGCAATTAGTGATGACCCTGCCCTATGTTTGATTTTAATAGGCCGTTACACACCCTAGTGAATAGTGTACTCTCGCTTGTAAATTTGTAAAAATTTAGGTTAATAATAATAATTTAACATTATCAGGATGTTAGAATAATTTGAAAAGTACAATAATTCGTATCAGTTTATTGTAATTGATTGTAATTGAATGCATCCAGTTTGAAAAAAACTTTCATGGTTAGTAATTAGAAAAAAAACAATCTCTAATATTATTTAGTTAAAATTTCAACATATAGATAGTTTATATTACGTATTCCATTACAGGGTCAAAAAGATATTTTTTATTAGTTTTTATTTACTACGTAGTTTTTTTGATTCAAAAAAAAAAAAGCATAAGATTATCGTTATCTATAATTATATTAAAAAAATTAGATTGTTACACGGGAATCAACCATTGCATATTCGTGTGTAATTCGTGCGCGTAATGAATGAGTTTTTCACGATCAATGAACAGCAGAATCCCTCTCTCCTGTGATCAATCACAAATTAAATTGGATTCAATTGTGATGGATATAATCCCTCACCAGCTTTAATATATGTGTAACATTAACGGTCTCTGCTGTTCGATCAATCCGTGCCGAAATGATATTAAGTATTGTCACAGGCTAAAATGAAGGATCTACAAAATTAGGCACAGTAAACCCGTGATTAAAGAATGGATCCAAGAAATACTGGTTTATCGGTTGAGGCTTATCGGCCGAATAAAGACGAAACAATAACCAACGCGAAATCCGAAGAACAAGAAACACGAAAGAAGAAATAAAAGAAGACCGAGTATCAAGATTTAGATATAGCTGAAGTGGCTGTAAAAGTGAATAATTGTATTGAGTGAAGCAAAGCCTTTCTTTGATTATAATAATGTTGCAAATTATTATTGTAAGCCCCTTACCTTAGAACTAGTTTTATTAAATTCGCTAACGATGTAATGTGTGAGTCATCCCTAAGCCCTTGAATCCTTTACATTCGCTAAAGCTATAAAAGCTCTAATATTTCGCCCTTCTCAAAAGACATCATCCTACGGGATTCTAATAATTCCCTCACAATACATTTAATAAATCACCTCGACAAACTCATTTAAATAAAATAAATTATTGTCAAATCACCATCGTCACGCCTCTGGCGAATGCCTTATATAATATAAATTCTATATTTCGTGCATAAACTAATTAAACCGACTTTTCACCTGTAACATTTGGTGGTGACTGTGAGATATGAACTTTTCAACTTAAGTTCATAAGTCACCTGACGAATGAAACCTCATCTATTATGGAAGTCTAACGCTTAACTATATTCGGAAGTACTGGAAAATATTCGAATCTTATTTGAAATTAATAAAAGTCTGACCATTATAAATGGTAGAATACTTGTATAATTGCTACGAGTATTTGATTTCACGGAAATACCAAAGAAGAATTGAAGATAAGAACATTTATACTGTTAACCGACGAAATGTTAATTTGTTCCTACCTATATTACGAATAATTTGGAAAGGATCCATAGTTGAACAAGCGATAATTATGGGGGTCCCTTAAAGCGGGGCAGATTTCATATAATGATCTACATGCTGCATAAATTGTATTCTTGATATATAAATAACTTACTAACCTTAACTGTATCAAAAAGGTAACTCCTAAAACATCAAAAACGTAACTTTTTTTAACCCGGCTTTAAGGACCCCCTAATTATGACATAGATCAACAAACATAACTTAAGAAAATAAGAAAATTGGTTTTCCACAAGAAAAGAATTGTACTATCAAAGTTAAAGGTGCTCTGCCTGTAAGTCATTGATCTAGCCTGGTATCGGCGGGGCTAATGCTGCAATAGGTACTACGCAAAAATGGGTGGTTTTTTTTTCCAACCTGTAAGTCGCGAATTAAGCCTGGTACTGGCTGGGCATATGCTGAAATAAGTACTACGCAAATTTTGGATCTTGATAGTATAGTGTAAAAAAAAAAAAAAAATATGACGAAAAGTATACGACGTATGGTACATACAGATGGATCTAATTC